AGAGTCTGGGAGCGGTGGCAGAAAATGTCCTCTGGGAGGTCACCATCAGTCTGGTTTTTATCAGTTGAAGCAGCTTCCTCCCAGAGGACCTGAGGGTGCAGGGCAGATTATACGAAATAAGACGATCCCCTGGGTAGATTGGACCCAGGCCATGTAAGGCTTTAAAGGTCATCACCAACACCTTATACTGTGCTCGGAAACCAATAGGCAGCCAGTGAAGGGATTTTAGAATAGGGGTAATGTGATCACTCTTCGATGTTCCGGTGATCAACTTGGCTGCCATATTTTGTACTAGTTGTAGTTTCCGAGTTAGGTATAAGGGTAGCCCCATGTAGTGTGTGTTACAGAAGTCGAGTCGTAAGGTTACCAGTGCATGTACTACAGTTTCTAGGTCCCTTACTTCCAGGAAAGGGCGCAGCTGGCGTATCAGCCTAAGCTGATAACAGGCGCTCCTGATTGTCGTATTCACCTGATCTGTCATGTGAAGCGACGAGTCTAGGAGCACCCCCAGTCTGCGAACACAGTCCTTAGCAGACAGCATAACCCCATCCAGGACTGGAGGTTGCACTCCAATAGCTGGTTTGAGGGGCCCTACTGTGAGTACCTCCATTTTGTCTGGATTCAGCTTGAGTCGGTTTTTCCTCATCCAGTCCATTACCGCTTCAAGACATTGATTGAGTAGAGAACCGCCATCTGCCGTCATGTCTCTTGATGATCTTCAAACAAAACAGGAGGCTTATAAGAACATCTAATATACTGGGAGAAAAGAAAAAATAACAAATAAAAAATGGAAAATACTATAAATCCCTAAGTACCTCAAAAAATCAAAGTTCAACATATAGATCTGAATGTATATGTATTTATAAGAACTGAATATAATTAATCAGTGCAACAATAATAGAAAAGATACAAGAATGAACATATACAAAAAACACTGTGGGAGAATGTTACTTTGTAAAGTGCATATGAAAATTCCTGCCACAGTGTCCCAGAACACTTAACCTAAAGTGACTTCTGGAAAGGGTCCTGTGAAAATTATAATCTGAGTCCACTATTCTTAAATTTGCTTTGGAGATTACTCTTGAAAAATATATACTTAGAAAGTAGACCACTGTGGACCAGTTTGCTTTGGAGATGCCATTTGGAGATGCCAGACGACTACCTCCGGAGATTTTCTGATGTCGTTGTCTTCTTCAGCAGTAGAAACTGGGACATTTTAAAAACTGAAAAAGTGCAATAACAGTGGATTAATCAGGACTATCCCTGATTATAGAAATAAGTATCCCTATGCTCTTAATATACTTTTGCTTGTTTTTTCCTTTCTTTTTTTTTTAAATTCATTTCGACCAGAGTGGTTTCCTGAGGACTGCTGTCAGTACGGAAGAGCTTTACTCCATTGCTACATCTCCCATGATACTAATTATTACTGCCCCTCTAAGCATCTGGTATTTGCAATTTAATTTAATAGAAAAAGAAGACATGTTTAATGCCACATCTAGTTTGTCCCTCAGAGTGTACAGAACTAGAGCAGTAGATCTACTCTGTTAATTGTTGCAGGATTCCTTCCTTCCTCATCTTTATTATTTCTCATGCACAGGCTACAATACACTCCTACAAGGAAACCCTTCCTGTACATATCTTGGGAGTTTATCACACAAAGGCAAATTGCTTAAATCCTGTGCAGAAACAAGATTTAAAAATAAAAACAAACCAAAATAACCCAAAAACCTGCAAAAACAGCTTGTTTTTCAGATGTGTTTGTGTAAAGGAGAAATAACACAACATTAACCCAATCAGAAAGTCGCAAAAACCCACTCCTTTTTATTTTCGGAAGTTCCTGAAAGCAAAAAGGAGAGGGTTTTGGCGACTTTCAGTTCAGATTAATGATGCATTATTTTTCCTTGATGCAAACGTTGTGTGAAAAACAACCCACTTTTGACTTTAACCACCATGTATTCAGAAGGGCGCTATCATATGTGTGGAATAAAGTGAAAAAACAATTTTATATGAAATTACCCCTCTGGACAGCAACACAAGAGGCTTTTTACAAAAGAACTAAAAATAAGGCAGAAAAATTGATAAAATACAAGGATATATTAGGAGGGGGAGGTAGACGTTCTTATCAATTAAAATCTATTGAAACGCTACAGCAAGAAAACATAAACATTAACTGGTTTCTGTATAACCAATTA